GGGGGGGGGGGGGGGGGAACAGGACACTGATACAGTGTATTTACTGCCATCACTTAGCTAGATTCAATTATTTTAAAGAAACAGGGGTAGCGACATGTTTCAGTTCTATAACATGCTAGACATCAGTAGGCAATATTGAGATTAATCACTATCAAGTCCTTATCCAGTTGCTATTAACACTGAAGCTTCTTACAAAAATTCACTGTAACTGTTCTCAATGCCAGTATTACAAAGTGAGTTCTTCTGATGTTCTAGTTCAGAAGGCAAAATTCTTGCCACTGAACAGTGTATCTATTTTAAATGAAAAGTATTCCCTAAAGCAAAGATTTTTTTCATATATACAACTTCCAAAATAACGTACTTAAGTACATTAAAGCTGCTCAAATTCGTTACTTTATATTTTTAAAATTATATTAAAAATTATATTTTTTTTAAGTCCTTTAACTTGGGGGCAATTAAAAGCAAGCTACCATAACAAAAATGCTTTATCCTAATTAAAAGCTACTGCTAATCTGGTTAACATCTGCCATCAGCTATGGCTATCAACAGCACTAAGTAATTTACACTAAAGCAGCACCTTCCTCTTGCATGTCTGGAATACACTCAATCCAGAGTGCCAGCTGGACATTATGTCCTGCTAGTGGTGCAACAACAAAGCACTAAGTAATTCCTACATGAATGAAGTGCTACTAATAGACACTCTGTCTAATGTAGATAATTGCTTGGTAACATATTTAAAAGGAACTTCTGGAATCCAGACAGACAGGTGCTGTTAGTATTAGATTAGTACAGTGCTACAGCATCTGAAATGTGTTAAGATATAAAACCAGAAAGAAGTGCTCAAAACAGCTGTTCTTAACTGAGCGCTTTGGCTTTAATATGAGCTGCTGAGGAACTCTGACTGAAGAATTAGTCAGTATTAACTCAAAAGGTATCAAAAAGCTACTGCAGAAGCATGGGGATGAGCAAACCTCGTGTCTTCGTGGTTTATATTTAAATTTGTCTCTGGAAAGAGCCACAACTTTTTTTCTTTAAAACTTTTATTAAAAGGTATTAAATTCCTTCTGTAGTTAAACATTCAGTAATACAAACCCAAGATTAAGTGCTTATCTTAAGTTACTTACAAGCTTATTAGTCCTTCCACATATATGGGTAATTTCCTACATGCAAAAAACTTTTTATGCTTTTCACCTAACAGAAGGTGCTCCACCCATTTACTACCTTATTTTTTCCCATCAATGCTTCTGAAAGAGTTTTTACAGTTATCTTACTCCTATCACCCCCAGCCTTGGAATTTCCTATCAAGTATTCTAACAGTTCTTTTCTGTCCCTAGGAAATTGAGTGTAGTACTTAACAATGCCATGCAGACTGGGAATAACAAAAAGCAAAAATACAAATGCCTATGAACTGGACAGCGTTTGTAATTATATCTTGCTTTAAAAAGAACTGTAGAAGTTTTATGCTGCTTTATTTATTTAACAATTCTCTCTTTCTTCTCTACTTACGGCTATCCAAACCAAGACAAACCAAATATATTTTTCAGCTGTGCACATTCTCCACAGAACACCTCAGAAATCTTGTAGCAGCCTGTGATTGTCTCCTCCTTGGCCTGCCATCTTTTATATACCTAGACTTTGCTGGAGAAGTCAAGCCAGCACATGGAACACTCCACATCTGAAGAGCTGCCATCAGACAAACTGGACAGCCCTGCAACTTCTTGAATCCTGTCTGTTTTCTTGGCTCCTCCTCCTCCTGGCAGCAAGTAGGTACTAGGGTCCACTTCAGAAAACACTGTTCACCTTTACTTTACAGGTAGAAGAACAGGAGGCATGCAGTTGAACACTCAACCCAGAGCTGCACAGGATCCTGTATGACAGTCCTGCTTAGAGCAGATGTATGTACCCTACGTAGTGGGACACCCCATCTGCAACCTGTCATGCTATCCATAATTCAAATCCTCACAAATCAAGCTCTGGGAACTAGACATTCCGACTATATTAAAGCAACAGTGAATACTCACTGCTTCATTTCTATAACACTGGAAAACATAACTGAAACAGTGAACAAGACAATGACCTTTGTACAGTAACTGGCTTTCCACTTGCAATTAACACTGCAGTTAAGAACACCAGATGCCATCAAAACATGCCCAAACCAGATCTTTCGTTACAGTGCTCTGACCAGTGAGGAGTTTAAATATAGAATTTCCCAGTATAGGTGGAACCCAAAATCTTAGACACTGGCAATGAAACACACAGTTTGAGGTCATCACACTCTACATGTGGCCTATGCACACAAATGCATTCTCTGCTTGGGGCATTGGGGAGAACAACTTGGAGAACTTTCACTTTTTTTAAACACAAACACCAAAATAGTTTCTAGATTCTCCTCAAATTTAACCCTCTGCAACAACGAATATGCCCCTGCCTTTGTTCTACTGAAGAATACAACAGTAAAATTAAGAACTATTATGCTCATGGCTCTGCATCATTAATTAAAACCAATAAATGATACCCTTTTAGGTCATTCTAACAGAAACACCAATAAGTGAATGAGTAGTGCTTGTACCTATACATTAACTCTGTGGCAAATATTAAAAACTCATCTGGTAGTTTTACAGTAGTTCAATTAAAACTGTAAGAACAATTTCAGATGAGACAAAATTATTTCCTCCCAAGAAACTCCTCAAGCACTCTGCTGAGCTTCTCAATCTGTCAAGCTGCTCCACCACAATATACATGATTTAAACTGCTAATACAATTGCAAAGTACAAAAATCTGGTAGCATGTTTTTTTTTCTGTAATTACATCCCAGAAATCACAGCTCTTCCAGAATGCTTGTGAAGTTATAAACCTGATGTGTAAACACTACTTTTGTATTTCAATACATACTTTTAGTAGGAATTCCTGAAGCTCCTGGTGTGTTTTTGTTACACATGTTACTGAAAGATCAGACCAGGTTACCTAGTAAGGAAAGAAAAGAGAATGAGGAAAGTTTCTTTTTCCAAATATTGTACCAGTTAGCTGATCTTAACATTTCCATCAATCTGACAATCTCAGTATAAGTGTTACACTTGTGGATAAGTAAATACCAGGCAAAACTGGGATAATAGTGTACTTTTAAAAATACATATTTTCAGTGTATATTTTAAGATCACCTTCATGTTATTTGTGGCTAAAGAGAGTATGAACAAATTCAGGCGAATGCAATGAAGTCCCTGAAGATTACTGACTTACTGACTCAGAAAGAAGCCAGGCAGAAGGCTCTGTAATTACAGGACTTGTATCAAACAGACATCAATAACTGCAAAAAACAGTTACCAGAGAAAAGGACTTCAGGTCAGATACACTGGATTGAGCTCTCACTGCCATTATCATAAGTCAAAAAAAAAAAAAATCCATTTATATTACTTATAGAATAATTTTATCTGCCTTTGATTTGAATCGTACATGGTTATATAGAAGTTGTTGTAGGGTACAATTCATAAAAAGTACTCCAAGTTACTAAAGAAGTTACTCGAGAATCAGACAGCATTTTGGTATATACTTGTATAAAATTTCAGTAGCTTATTGTTCTGATACAACATGCAAGTAGTAAAACAGCACCTTCACATGCATATTTTGAGAAAAAAAGAAGCTTAGTTAGATGAGTGGTGCCTGGCTTTAAGCCCACTTCTGGGCTTCAGATTCCCATTACATGCATGGGAAGATTCCGTGTAATGGGAGTGGACATGACAATTATAAACATTCATTTACTCCCAAGAGTTGATAGGATAATGTCAACCACCAACTGCCTTCAACTTAGTCCCCAGAAATGCCAACTACTCTTGGTGCTCTCAGTTGATAAGCCATGACTGTAACTGCTGTTATAACCTTAAAAAAGCAGTGTCTGGACAAGCACAAAATGATCTGCAGTGAGGAGCACAGTATATACCTGCATAGATGAGGAGAGGAAACTCTTTCCTAAAAGAACTGAGGTGGAAGAGTTTCAAGCTTACTCAAATACTTCCCAGAATATCTCCACATTCCCCCTTCAACAAAGAAATTCAAAACCACTGTCAAATCCATCTATGTGCTGAATTTTCAAAACATTTTGTGACTTCAAATATTAATAATCCATATGGGTATTCGGTACAAATCTATCTACTATTGTATTTTACCTAGTACTCAGTTCACAGACTATTCTGACAAAAAATATCTATGACAGGGTTGAAATACTTGGGCAAGTTAACATTTAAGACTTTGAAGGCTACATTCCACATTAGTCCTCAGCAAAAGAAGACTGCAGAACTTTTTTTGCAAATGACACCTTCAGACAAGATCAACAACAAAGTATCTGTTGCCACTACTTTACTTTTAAACCAGAAATACTATACATGTCCATTTAACTCTAATTTTAAGCTTCTAGAAATACCAGAACAGACAAAACTGTAATTCAAATCCATTTAGAGAATACAGTATCAAACTTTGGGATCAACATATCAGTTCTCAGCTCAAAATGGCATTTTTTTTAAAGTCTGCTTCTTCAAAGAGCTCCCATGACCCATGTCAAATGGCCAGTTATAATATTTGATCTAAAACATTCTTTTGTTTGAAAAAAAGGGTAAAATTTAACTCTTGAAATCTAGTATACTACCAGACTCACATCTATTAGCCAAACAACACATCATGTTAGTCAGTCCTTGCTAAGAAAATTACTACTTTGATTCAATTAGAACATCACCACCAACAGCCTTAGCAGCTATTATTTAACACCTATAGCCTTTAATACCAGAGCTCAACACGGAGAGCTTCTCATCCAAAGTAGGAAGAAACAGTGTTTCAGTTCTGTTTAAAATTCACTCACATAATTGGTTAACATGTTGCATCTGGCTACTATTATACATGAAGACTATACTAGGTTAGGCCTTTTAAGTTTGTTGACTTTTTTAGCTTGTTTGTTTCTACCTTAACAAACAAACCCACAAACAAACACACACACCAACCCTCAGTTTTGTCAAAAAAACACAGGAGCCATCCTCTTATGGTGAGCATTCATGGAAGAGATCCAAGACAATCATATGACTCCAAGCAATATATAGCTGCAGACACAAGAACTGTGCTCCTATGCCACTTGAGCAAACAACAATCAACTAGTTTTAGAATTCTTTGTAATATTTACCACAGATTAGCAAAAGCCAAAGCCAAGTTCCCTGAAGTGATGTCACCACACCAACTCTATGGCCGGTGTTTTACACCTTGCCATCTTATGCCCACAATTACACAGCACACCTGATCTGCATACAAAATTCATGAAATTATAGGATAATTCCAAGACTCTCTGAAGACCCTAATGTAATTCAAAATTCCCTTCTGAGCAGGTATTTGAAACAAGCCATATATATCTACAATACACAGATATAATGAAGACAGTTACTTTAATATTCTGGTTGTTATTCACTTACTTTGAATGTGTACTCCAAATGTTTGTCAGCCCTTTTTCTTGGTACTCCTTTCAGGGTTATCTTCTCAATGTGTACAGCTGAAAGAAAACCACTTTACTGTACATGCCAAAATTACAATTTGAAAATGTATCTACTTACCTAGCCACTCTGAGAATCACCGTGTGGTACTTACTGACTCACACAAACCCCTCTCGCTCAGATGCTATTTCACTATAGCAAACTGCAGGGGGCAGGTGGAGCCTTGTTCTCTACAAAGCACTTCCCTGGCCTGACCACAACCCCTTCATTACAGATCATGGAAATCTGAGCATTACCCAAGAGCTTATTTAGACCAAAAGACACATAAATACAACCATATAACCACTAGAAGTGAAAAGACAATAAAAGGATGTCAAAGTGCATCTTTACTCCAAGAAGTAACAAGCGCTGATAAAAGCCAATGACAGTGCCTTCCACATCCACGTTACTGAAACATCAAGTAGTAATGAGAGCAAACTAAGGCAGAAGAACCACACATTTCTGAAAGGCACTTCTGAAAGTGGAAGGAAACACTTGGGGAAGGCCTGAGGGAGACAGAAATGAGTATTAGCAAACAGAAAATTAAGAGGAGAAGCAGAAGGCTGCTACAATTGTACTGTAAGGAGTAGCATTAAATTGAACTGAAAAGGAAGAAAGGTAGGTTAAAGTACTTGCTACTTTAACATTTCTTCCCCATAGTCTACTGTATTCAGGAATAGACAAGTTCTGGTTGTGACCTGGTAAACAGCAGTACCGTATAGCTTTCAGGGCCTGGAGATTTTCTTGGGGGCACATAACATTCTTCAATATTCTATATAAAAATCCTTATGTAGCTGATGGGCTTTTCACTTTTCCTGCTATGCTGGTCTAAGAATTAAACAGAATTTTATCCTTTACAAGCATGAACATATCTTTACATGTAAAAAAGTTTACTTAAAAATCAGCTCAAACCAGCCCTACACCATCAATGCTTTTGAAACTTTTTCTTTTTTGGGGGGAGGTGGCAGGAGGGTGGTGTTACCAGCTAGCACCTTCCTTTCAATGTTTAACTGCATGTTTAAATGGAATATATTGGGAACTACTCATATCAATTAAAAAAACAAAATCAACCTCCGACAAGTGTATGTTTCAAAGCTTATTCCTAGAGATTAGCGAATTACCATTTCACTTAAATTAATTTTGTTAAAGTTACAATTAAAGTATCATCCCCATCAAACATGCCATTTCTAAGACAACTAAGTACTGGCAGTTTCCTTAAAGGAATAAGCCAGTATATAAGCTTAGTGATAGTGTTACAGGCTCCAATAATTGTGGTAGAAAGGCAGACAAATATGGAGTGTGCTGGTGTACGTTGGTTTTAATCCTCTACCTGGGAGTTAGCACACTAGATGATCAGTTCATTTTTATCAGTTACTGAAGATTAATTATTACAAAGCAATCTGAGACGAGCTAATGATATCAGACAATAACACACATCAACATACCATGAAAAGCCAAAATGTTTAGTAACCTGAATTTTTACCTGTCCAGTAGAGATAAAAGTACTGTTAGAAGGACTATGGCCTAACATGAGTTTTGTTGCAGTAAAGTTTCTTACTGGACAAGGTTAAAATTGATACCATCAGCTGAATTTACATTCTTAAGTTAATTAAAAAGTTGATTCCCATGACTGGAACTGAGAATAGTGGTTTAAATTGCATTTCACTACATGCATATATTTAGCATACATAATTATGGAAACTAACACCATTAACATTCATACACAAGCTTCTTTTCTAATGAGATTGTGTTTATTTTAAACTACTGAATGTTCTCAATGCTAAATATATTTGTCCTCATGTATAAAGAAATTTTATTACACAATGTAGTACCTTGAGCTTCCTTCTCTTTGTTGCTGTTGCATACTTCATTGTAGTAAGTGTACTTTACAACAGGTAACTACAGTTTTTATGCACAGCTTTAGCTCCAGTTTCATCAGAATGCTTTAAAATTCTGTTTCCACAATCACATTTTAAATATTCTAAATGGTTAGACCAAGAAGAAATATTTGAATATACAAGCCAATGAGGCATGTTACATCTCTACATCTATTTTGGACAAAACACATGCATTCAGGATGATTAAGTCAAGCATGTACACATGACACTGCTTCCATTTCAAGTCCAGATTTCTAAAAACCATATTCATCATAGGTGAGAATAAAAATAATATTTTATTATCAGTGCTAATTCTAACTCAGTAAGGAGATTTCTGCAGCAGGGACTCTCTATCATATGACTAATATCACAAAATTAGTTTGATCCTTCACTGTAGTTTCTAACTATGATAACACAAATGCTGAGAAATATTTAAGCTCTTCACTAGATTCAATTATTCAATTTTTCTGTGCTTCTGTTACTTAATTCAAAAGCATTGTTAAAGGGAGTCTCCCTTTTGTGTTTCTAATTTGTGAATATGAAAACTCTGAACTCCATAAAAGGATTTGAAACAGGTTTGTTGTCTGTAATCTGCCATAATCTTTCTCTGGTTTTTTTCAAGGAATTAAAACTCTCAAATCGCCTGCCTTCTAAGTGTAATTATATCTCCACAGTAGAGACAAAAGGACATTTGTGAGGACAAAAGCAATAGCAATAGTTTTCCCAGACTGCCAGCTCTTCACTATCTGCAGGATAGTATACTAATTTTGAGTAGACAAGTGATTTGCTAATCTTGCTGAAGAATAAAGGGTAAGAATAAATCTGTTTTCAATAATGTTCATTTCTTCAAAGAGAAGAAACTGTGCTGGCAATTGCACAGAAGAGTTCTGTTTACACTCTGAAGCCTCATTCTCATTCTCCCCAACAGAACCAAAAGAAGACTGACTTCTACCAAAAGCCTCTCACTTCTCCAAACTACCACTTCTGTGAAACCTCCTAATGTGTTTTTTTCTTCTTTGTTCTTTAAGACTAATCACATCCAACTGAATCAAGTAGCAAAAGCTATCCACTGTTTCAAAGTATCTTCATGTTTAGTTTTGCTTCAAAAATCTAAACACCGTTAATACAATTGTATTAAATGTTGTCGTTCTCTCCCAAATCCCACCTCTTTTTTTAAGGAGGAAGCCCATTTGCAATCAATTTTCATGCATGAAGTCACTAGTAGTTAGCAGCTAACAAGAATGACAACTTGTTATAATAAAGAAAAGTCCAAGCAGGCAGCAGAGAAGCTATTATACTTACCAGTTCTCATTCAGATGAACAGCAAGACAGATGCAAGATTTCTACAACTCCAGGCAGTTTAGCATTCAAAAAAAAACCTTAAAGTGTTCCTCAAAATAAACCTCAGGCAACTTACCTTCTCGCTGAGGTCTATGGGAAGCCATTGGTAGTCCATCATGAGGTGCTGCGGTTCGTTCTAGCAAACTGGTCTCATTACTTGACATGCAGTCACTATGGGAAAAGTCATTCTAAATTGAGAAGGAAAAAAAAAGGAAGTGTCAATAAAATGTATATTATCAAAACTTACTCTAAACGACACAAATTACAAAAGCAAAGTTCCTTTTTGGTTCTACAGGAGAAAAACCTGAAGTTCTTGACAGTGGCAAAAAGATGGCCATTAGCCATTTCAGATTTTTTTTTTTTTTAAATTAAATGCCAGCTATAACCTCCAATGTTCGACTGACCTTATTTTAAAAGCAGGAGGACAGATCATGTGCCTTTAGGGTATCTCAAGCTGGACAATTTAAGATCATTAGCTCAGAACTTCAGTGCTAATTTACTGTTAGTAGCAACTCTTTCAACTACTAACCTGTGAAGTCATCTACTTTCTACACTCTTAAACATATTCTCCTCAAGTATATTCATGTCCAGTCTGCTACCTCTTCTATACAGGACATCATGAATAACTGTTTGGACCATCTGTCAGGACATATGGTCCTAACAGCTAAATCCATGCGCCTCTTAATAACTAAACATTCAGAATGCAACCAGTCGCCAACAACACTCTCTTCCATAGGACAGACTGAAAGTTCATCTCCCCCGACGCTTTCATGTGGACTTCAAAATTATATGCCAAGAATCACTACTGTTTGAGTACAGTGCACAAGGAGACAGAACAGGAAATCATCCAAGACATAACATGGACAGATTAGCAGGAGAAGAAAGAACAAACTAGGCTAAAAACGATAAAGTATGGGATGAGCATGGACTTTAAGCGGTTCCTCTAGGGTAACAAAAGCCTATATAATTTTTCCCAAATTAAGATAAAATATTAATGTATCACAGAATCAACTAGGTTGGGAAGGACCTTGAAGATTAATTTTACAGATTTACATGCTCTTCAAGGTCTTGTTAAAAAAATCCAAAATGACCAACCAAGCTAAAATTCAGAAATGTTTTAAAATGTCCAATTACTTTAGATGTAACTGTTTTTGCCAACTGACCAGCGTACGTTGCCTCAAAAAGATACATCCACAAAGAACTAATAAATACTGGAAGTTACTAGCAAGTGTCTGGATTAATTTAAGTGAGGTACCTCTATCTGTAACAACTAGTATAACATATGATCTTAGCAAGTACATAAATGCCATCAATATGCAAATTGCAGAAGCAGCAATGGCAGCAGTGCAGAGGAGGAGTGAAGGTGGTTCTCTGTTTAGCACCACAAATCAACGAAATACTGGGTTTTATTAAGCACTGGAAGCTAAAACAGAGGGTAGGTTTCTTGGGAAAGCTTTCAAAAGAAGAAAATTAAATAGAGGACATTTGATGCACCACAAATATTTAACAACTGGTTTGCATGAAAACTGGAAGGTAAATAAATATGTATCTTATTAGTAGCTCTATATAACAAAATTCCTGAGAGAAATTGATACGTTTTGGAATACATGTATATTGAAAGTTTAAATACTGTTCCTCTCATTCAGGATGAAGAACTGAAAGACCTTCATAAAATATGTGTAGAGGAAAAATACAAATCTTCAGACAGTAGTCTTATTTTTAAATATAGGAAGCATAAGATTCTGAAAATAAGTGCTGGAATAGATATGATTTTTTTTTTTTCCTGAAGGACTGGTGCAACATGATGGAACAAGCCAGCAGCCAAGACTAGCTACCTTGTTTGGTAAAGAGGACCTCAAGAGTGTCTCAACAGGCAGACCAGAATGAGGAAGCACTGAAGTGTCAAAAGACATCAGAAGCACCTTGCAGTTTGTGAATCTTCTTCAGATTTGACAGACACACCAACTAAAGCTGGCTTCATCTTACTAAACCAGCTTTGCATCATCTATAGCGTGGGTACAAACTGTGGCAACTCCTAACAATAGATTCAACTCATTTAGGACTCAGTAAGTATACAGGCATCAAGCTTGCCCTGGGCGTACTGTTAATCTAACTTCCATCAGTCACATCAACATCAGTACACAAATAGCAAGTGAACATCTATGTGCCTTCAGACCGCACTACAGATGGTCTGAGGAACTGAAAGACATTTCAGTTGTTTCATCTAAATCAGTGTTCGGTTTGTGTTCTACACTGAGTGTCAGTAATTTCAGGTCTCAAAGCAATCAGGTTTAAAGTATAGAGTATGCTTTGTTTCCTCTAGATAAAACTCATACCAGACCCTAGTCAACTCGGTAAACAATCTCAGCAAACTTAACTGATCCAAACTATTTCATCCTTCAAACATCTAATAAATTATGAGCGCAATGTCAGACATGGAAAAAGAAAGGAAACCAGCTGTATATCAACAAGATTGCATTTTAACAGCTTTAGCAAATTTCCAAGTTTAATTTAATAAAAAACAACCTACAGGCATATTCTGGAGAGAGCCACTTTCAGATGTCCTTAACACTCCCATTGATACTGCTTTGTCAGACATTTGGTAACAAGTGTGGACACAACCAAACCCAAGCACTTTAAGTGTTAACTCCTGGTCATGCATTATTCGCAAAACTACTGGCATTTGAACATTAAAGTTACCCTGTTAAAACTGTGATTCATTTAAGACTGTCCATAAAGAATACTACTACTACAAATTAACTGGCCGTGTCCAAACTACATAAACTAACAAGTTTAGCATGTGTTTTGGTACAAGAGTGAATGTCTTCCTGAAATGAAATCAAATAATTGAACCAAGATTTCTGGTGAATATCAATGTCAATTCTCTGGCAGTGTTAAGGTCTTCCTTAAACTACAGCCACGTGCTTTGCCAAAAGCAGCTGTGATATCTTTCTTCCACACTACATACAGAAAATGACAGACATTTGGATTAACCCTAACAGAGGCTCTCAAACTGTTCCATTTGTTTTACTTTTCCAAGATGTCTTTTTCCACCTGTGAAATTACCATCTTAAGAGCTGAAGGCAGTGCTTCATTCATTTTAAGGAACAAGCTCAGACTTCCACCTAATCAATTTTTTTTTTTTTTTTTTTTCATTCACAAATGGATCTAAACCAAATCAAATTTAAAGTCAGGCCTTCTTTTGCATTCAAAGTCAGGCTACTTGTTTTGATTAATGGAAAAATAAATTACAGTCTATTCTAATAAATAATTGCTAGTTAAGAAATTAAGGAAGCTGTGAGCAGTTTTTAGAAGAGAGGTGTGGAAATATTTACTTCAAAGATATATTCTGCTCAGCTCATGTCAAAGAAGCATCAAATACTGTTGCTATAACTCCTAATAACAGAAAACTGCTTCTCACCTACCATACACATCATCTTCATAATGGTGTTCAAATATTTTTTCAGACAATTATTCCAGAATGGTTACTTCTCTATCTGTGGCAGTGTTCTGTACCAGGCAAACTACATCCATATTTGAAGGCTCCCTCTAAATTGAAAAATATTACATGGTCCAAACCTGTATTTAAACAAGTCCTGATATCAATGACTTTATAAATCATAACCATTCAAAAGTTTATAATTTATTCACTTGAAAAATTCTTCATCTAGAAGGTTAAACCAGTAGTATGTACTGTGTGTATTCTGTGTATGACAGCTTTTACAATACCTAGTTGTCCTGGTTTCAGCTAGGATAGAGCTAATTTTTCTTCTTCTTAGTAGCTAGAACAGTGCTGTGTGGGATTTGATATATGAATGTTGACAATGCATTGATGCTTTCAGTTGTTGCTAAGAAATCAAGGACTTTCCAACTCCCCATGCCCTGCTATTGGGCAGGTACACAAGAAGCAAGGGGGGGGAGCAGAGCCAGAGCAACAGACCCAATTGGAATATTCCATATCATCTAACGTCATGCTCAGTATATAGATACAGGTTGATTGGGAAGCTCACTCTCGCTTCTGGGATTGCGGTTTTGGGATTCTCTCTTCTCTGGGATCACTAGCTGGGAACGGGCTGGGCAGTGGTTGATGGGTGGTGACCAAACATTGTGCATTAATCATTTGTATCTTCTACTATTATTGTTATTACAATTATTTAAATTTTATTTCAATTATTAAATTGTTTTTATCTCAATCTACGAGTCTCCTTACCCTTCCAACTCTGTCCCCCATTCCCCGGGGGTGGAGGAGGACAAGCAAGTGGCTGTGTGGTGTTTGGCTGCTGGCTGGGTTTAAACCACACTAGTGGAACGCAGGAGGCAGACAGTAGAGTAATCCAGGGCAGTCATAGCTTTACCTTACAACTTAGAGCCTGCAAGGGCTGTTTCTGTGCCAGCTCCAGATCATATCTTAAGCTGCATTACAACTCTTCACATTTGGTGTTAGCTCCTGTGACAGTCATACATCGAACACTCACGAGTAACTACAAGTAGCATTGTCAGAGCAGACAACTCCAGCATGACTGGAAAGTCGAGGCAGTCTTGGGGGCCAGTGAATATTAAGAGTGACATCGTGGGTTGCTACCTGGTGTTAGTCACACCACAAACACAAGTCCTTTAAAACTGGGTACCACTGCTGAAGGGGTCCCCTCAATGGTCAGACTGTATAGCGCTAATTGTGCTAGTCATCCCCTGTCAATGAACAAAATGTATTCACACAACACATGCAAGGTTAATTCTTGCATAAGCCTTTGTCACTAAGGCTTTCACATGCAAGGATCCACTGCAGCTCATAGTGCTGCTGTTAATGATTAAAGTACAGTGAAGCAAGAAATGTGGGTGGCCCCAAACCGGTTGCGAGATAATTAATTTGATAATTGCACAGACCTTTGTGACAGGACAGAGGATTAACTACATTTCTCCTTGAAAGTGAAATGAGCTAAGAGAATGCTCTAAAAATTGTCTGCTTTCACAACCTAGACCAGAGGTTTTTATCCAAGACATCTTTCCTCGTACGGCTGAACGTGAGTACCATATTAAAAACCCACACCCATCACATGAGATGTTTCCTGGGACTCTCAAGACAAGCACCAAATGTCTATAAAGTGAAGAGCCATCCTGCTCGGATGTTGCTCTGTTTAAGTAACATATGTGAGCTGAGCAAATCTCAGCTAGTCTACACATGACAGAT